TATCTTAAGCAATCAATATTTATGTATTGGCATTACGTCTTCGCATTTCATTTTTTTAATGTTCTTCATTGTTCTATTGTACAGTAGTTTTTATCACTATATTTCAGTTTATAAGTTTTTTATTCTTTTTAAAAATTGACTTTTTTGATAAAAATATTTTTTTAACTTTACTTTAATGAAAGACACCTTTTAACTAAACTATGTAGTAAATAATTTATAAATGTATAGTATAATAAAAATAAAAATTGATATTAGTTAGCATTATTATTTTTTCTAATCAAGTTATTATTGTGCTCAAATATTTCTTATAGCAATTAAATATATATATTAATAAAAATAATAAAAGTAAAGTAATAACATACTTTTTATATTTTAATAATTGCTAATATTTTTATAAATTCATGTGCAAAATTATTTTGTTTTCTTTCATATTATGTCATGTGCTTTTTTTTTATTAGTTTTTTCTTATCTAATTTGCGTTTTTGCTGTACAGATAATACATTGCTTGACTAAATTATAAAAAATTACCATTTGGTAAGCTAATGTCATAATTTTGGTGTTCTATACACTATCAAACAAACACATTTTGATAATTTTAAGAGTTTGTTCAAATTTTAATATTACTGAAAATGCGGAGTGAAAAAAATTCAAAAGGGGATATTGTGAAAAATAAAAGGCATTGATAATTAGCTACTCTCCAGAGGTTACGCAAGTGGAGTGTCTGGTCGCTAGAATGTGGTTTTCTCTTCGCTTATAGGTATTTAAATCATTATTATATTAGTTAATAATTAAAAATATTAGTATAGAATGAGTAATAAATTACAAATTTGACATTATAGATATGAAAAAGTAAGGTATTGTAGGCATATTATATTTTTACAGATTCATTGACTCTTTTATAATAGTATAGATATAGATATATATAGAATAGATAGATAGATAGATATAGATAGATAATAGTATAGAATAGATATAGATAGATAGATTAATGGTAAATAAAAATTAAATGCTTTTTTATAAGTCACTCGCATATGAACGGTGTAAGAAGACAAAAGTTAGATGCTTTGTTATGCGAGTTAGTGCTGAAACTGCAATATCACGTTAAAATTCCCTCAATCCTAAACACATTCTTCCAAATTATAAATAAGCACACGTCTAACCCAGCTATATGGTGACGTTTTTCTGCTACTAGCAATTCAAAAGTTATTCATTTCTATCCCCAAAACTAAACATCTAAAAAAAAACTCCCTAATATCGGCCGATCAATACGAAATCATCGTCATCCAGAACCCGAATCTCCTCATCCCCAACGAAACTCTCCCTCCCGAGCTCCTCCACGATCTTCACAAACTCCACCCTCTTCTCCACGGCACGTGCCACGTACGGCAG